CCATTTTATACGCTGTAATCTTTTAATGTTAGTCTGTTACATTAGGCTGAACTTTTATAGTATTCTGTCATCGTTTTTATTTTAGGCTGAGGTTATTTCTCTCTTAAATTTTTGAAGTCTTACCTATGAGAATTATTTCAGAATTGAATTGTTCTGAATTTATTCCCCTTAATTATCTTTGTGAAATTTTTTCTTCCGTTATTTTTTTTTTTTTCTTTTCATTTTTCTTATTAGAGTACCTAAAGGAGCAGGACCTGGATGCTACCTTGCAGGATCCTTAACATTGTCAAAGACTGAACTTGGAAAGAAAGCTGTAAGTATTAGTTTGTTTCCACTGGAATTATCTTATTCCAAAATTTCCATGGAAATTAGTTTCACTTTCAGAATGGGTAAAAGAGAAGATATACCTAGAAAAAATTTTAACAGGTTTTTCCCAGGTTACTAGTAAAGGTTTATTAATATTTGGTTGTATTTTAAAATGTGTCTTATTTTAAAAATACTTAGTTTTCTTTTTCTCAAGTCTTGAGTACTGTGACCCTGAACCTTTCCTACTTTGCATGGCTATATACTTGAACTTTATGTGAAACATGTTCTTTTGTATGTAGATTCAAATCAAACTTGACTTAAGTATATGGCATGTTTACAGTTAGAGCATTTTATAGAATTTTGGCCAACATAATGTTTTGGATATCAGAATTTGCTTGTGTTGCTTCTAAAACTGCTTAAATTAGTAATCAACAGTATTTCTCATACAGACCATTCTCACTGGAATTTTGCATAATTATCTAGGTAAATATAAGCTATTTCTTTTGGCATTGCCTTTTCTTTTATAGTTTCAAAAGTATGCTTTTTGTTAAAAACATGGTTCTGTCAGTTTTCTATTTTAGAGATAAATGTTACACTTTTTTGGTAGGTACCTGTTTTAGTTTTCAATCTGCATTTTCATTAGAAAAATTATTAATTAGTATGATGGTGTATAATCACCTTTTATCATAAGTCATTTAGCTCAGTGCCGGTAAAAGGTCTCATTCTTAGTATTGCCTTTCTTTTTATCCGTAGTTTTTACAAAGTTAATTAATCTGTTATCAAGATGAACAAGTCTCATGTATCTTAAAAATTATATTTATTTCTTGCCGCTCTTGAACCAAAAGTCTTTTATTCACTGTCATAGAAGCATAACTTGGGAATTTTTGGCTTAGAAAAAGTTATTTCTTGACATATCTTGAATCTCATTTCCATTTCTACTGTACATATACATACTTCTGTATATTTGGAAATAAATCAGTAGTTAATGATACTAGAATTCCTAAATGCACTGATTTAAGAAATCTTGATACTCTTTTCTTGTAGATTTCATTGCATGGGAAGCATAGCTGTCAGTCTTGTTTTTTCACCCAGCTGACTCTTGTGAGGATATAACAGAAAAGTATTGTTCTTAAAAGTACCCTTTCAAGCAAGTCAGAATAGATACTACTTCCTGACTATTCCTTCAGAGACAATTATGAAACTATATTATTTATTAGGATAGGTTTTCTTGGGAGAGAGCTATCCAGTTAATTATAATTTCCATTTCATTGTTTATGTAATCATACCTCAGTAGTGTGCATT